CAATTATTGATTTCCTAAGTTCGTTTTGTTGATTTTGGCTTTGCAATTCAAGTTGAATTTCTGGGTTTATTATTCTTTTTACGTAAGTTCATGATTTCTTCATCTAATATTATGAATTGTGTTCTTGCTATTATGGGTAACTAAACTTCACAACTAGGGTTGTGGGATCCATGAGCGATTAACAAAGTGTGAATAGTAAATAAGTAATTCTTGAATAGTGTTTTGCATGCATTGATAATTCTTTCGTTCAAAATTCTTTTTAACGAGTGCACGCGTTAGAACTTGCCTTGTTGCTACTTGCCGGACCAAGGAGGTAATCAACAAGAAAAGAATTATCAACATAGATTTAGTGTGATACTATCTAATAGGCTAGTGTCGATTGGTGCGAAGTAATAACTAAGCCAAACATCGATTATGATGTCTAATATGAGGTAAAGGTAAGGGTTAGTAAATTATACACACGTAGTCGGACCAAGGTGCGGCCTCACCTTGTTGCTACTTGCCGGACCAAGGATTTAGAGATACCTAACTTATCACTTTGCATGTAGTACACTAGGAAAGGATTGCTATTACTAGGATTACTGCATTATGAGCTTGTGGGAAACACATATACCCCTAGTTATTTCTCTCATCTTGATAACAACCAAAATTGAGTTTTGATTACTGATTACTTATTAAATTCTTACAATTTGTTTCACAAAAACCCCCATTTTTATTACTTGTTTCTGGAAGTAATTTGACTAATCGAATATAATTGTTGGTTAAATTAAAGTCTAAACCATTTTTCTCGTGGAATCGACCCCAACCTACAAGTTGGGTTCTTTACTTGATAACGACCGCTTATGCTTCTTTAGGGAGGTGTAATTTTAGCGTATCAAATTTTGGCGCCGCTGTAGGGGAAAATTTGGCTTTTAGATTTATTTTAACTACATTATTGAACGTTAGTCAAATATTTCCTAATTTTACTTTTTCTTGTTGTTTTTGTCTCTCTCGGGTTCTGACTCTAGTGTATGCCAAGTACACGGAGCCAGGGTGAACCACTTACTCCGTACGATCCAGAGTTGAACCGAACTTTGCGAAGAAAGAACAATCAAGGAATTCCAGTTAATCCTATCGGAGTAAATCTTGGTGATGCAGTTGAGTTACAACAGCCAAGAGTAGCTGGTAGGGAAAACCGGGGTCTAGCTGAAAATCAATTGGGAGATGCAGTGAGGGTGCATGGTCCACCAGGCCCACAACTGCATGACAACTACAGGGGCAACGTCAATATTGTTGACTCTGATGGACCACTAGTCTTACCCCATTTGCCTCCGGGGAACACATTTGTGGTAACCGGTAGCTTAATGCAGATGCTTACAGCGAGGGGCTTGTTCTCAGGGTTGCCATCGGAGGACCCACATGCTCACATAGCCAAGATAAAGGTGGTCTGCAAGAGCTGTGTAGGTCGATCAGACTTGGATATGGATGTCATCGAATTGCGAGTGTTCCCTCTATCACTGACAGGCGATGTTGCTATATGGTTCACTGAGCTTCCTTATAACTCAATCTATACATGGAACCAACTGAGAGATGTGTTCTTAGCAAGGTATTATCCAGTGTCCAAGAAGCTCAATCACAAAGATAGGGTAAATAATTTTATGGCATTGCCTGGAGAGTCCGTGAGCAGCTCATGGGACAGATTCACTTCGTTCATAAGAGGTGTTCCGGATAACCGTATTGATGATGAATCACTGAAGGAATATTTCTATCGAGGTCAGGATGACAACAATAAAGCAGTGCTTGATACTATTGCTGGAGGATCATATGGTGAGTGCACATATGCACAGATTGCAGAAAAATTGGAGATAATACTCTCGCAACAATAAAGCATGGAGCACTAGGAGGTCGGATACTGGGAGAAACACATTTGCCGTTCATGCTACGAATAATTAGTCTACAGAGGAGATTCATGAGGAGATGGCTAAGATGAGGACCGAGTTGGGGTTGGTATTGAAACATGTGAGCGGAGGTGCAGAGAAGGTAAATGCAATGAATTACTTGACTAGAACGCCACCACCAGCTGAAGAGTGTTACTATGAAGAAGATGCTTATGCAGTGAATGATCAGACAGGGGGTTTCCGACCTAACACTCAAGGATCCAACACGAAAAATTGGCGCCAAGGTCAAGGAAACCAAGGTCGGAACTATGGTAATTACAACCGAGAGGGTCAATATGTCTGGGATGGAAACTTCAATCGCAACAACAACTACAACCGGAACAACTATGGCAATAGAAACGGTCGGGTTGGACCTTATGTTCCTCCTCAAAATTGGGAATCTGGTACTAGGGAAGCTGGAGGCAATCTGGTGCGTATTGAAGATAAGATGCATAAGATGATGAGAAGGTTTGATGCAACTGATGAGAATGTGAAGGAGATGAGAAATGACTTGTCTGGTATTGGTCAAAAGGTTGATGCCCATGCAGTGTTGATAAAGCATCTAGAGCAGCAGATAACTCAGTTGTCTACTACAATGAATCCATGTCAACCTGGCACTCTTTCTAGCAACACCATCCAGAATCCAAAGAGTGATGGTCATTGTATGGCAATTACTACTCGAGGGGGTAAGCAAACCATAAATCCATTTATGCCGTCTGTGGTGGATGACGACAGTAGAAAAGAAGATGATGTGGTAGAGGCCAGAGAAGAGTCTGAGACGGCAACAGAGCAGGAAGCGGTGATATATCAGAAAGTGGTCCTCATACCTAGACCTCCACCACTTTTTCCACAAAGGATAGTGAAGAAGACTGAAGGTGGTAAATATCACAGGTTTATTAGTATGTTGAAGTAGCTTTCTATCAACGTTCCTTTGATAGAAGCTTTGGAGCAAATGCCTGGGTATGCGAAGTTTATGAAAGATATGGTGACAAAGAAAAGGTCTGTAAATTTTGAAGATGATGATAAATTGCAGCATTGTAGCGCTATTGCTACAAGATCTCTTGTGCAAAAGAAGAAAGACCCTGGTGCTTTCACGATACCATGTACTATAAGGTTGCTACGCTTAGCTAAGGCATTATGTGATCTTGGTGCTAGCATAAACCTCATGCCATTGTCTACTTACATAAAGTTGGGTCTAGGGGACCCAAAGCCCACTACAATGCGGTTACTAATGGCCGATCGAACTGTGAAGAGGCCCATTGGTGTACTCCATGATGTGCTAGTGAAAGTGGAGTCTTTCATTTTTCCGACAGATTTTGTGATTCTTGACTGTGAGGTTGATTTTGAGGTTCTCATCATCCTTGGGAGACCGTTTCTTGCCACAGGGCATGCTTTGGTTGATATGGAAAAGGGACAGATGAAGTTCAAACTAAACAATGAAGAAACAACTTTCAATATTTGTAGGTCCATGAAGCAGAATGGTGAGCTTCAAACAGTATCTGCTATAACTTACAGAATTGAGAGTGGGACAGAAGTGCAAATTGAAGAGCGACTAGGTGTTGAGGCATTAGCAGCAGTTATGAAGAATTTCTATAGTGATGATATTGAAGAGTATGATGAGTTAGTAGCCGCACTCGATAGGTGTGAATATCGATCCAAACCAAAGAAGTATGAGTTAGACATGAAGAATCGCAAGTCCCCACCCGCAAGACCGTATATTGTGGAGGCGCCAAAATTGGAGCTTAAGGCTCTACCACCGCATTTGAGGTATGTC